AAGAGGTGAATAAACCGAAAACCGGCCACCTTCTTATCTGGAATATCACTGCTGTCTTGCAGTCCGCGTTTGGTTGCGCAAATACTAGAGTGCATCCTCGAGCAAGGCCTACTCTGGACTGGGCGACCGAGTAGTACAACAGCCCACAACGCAGACAACTATGAACGTTCTCGCTCTCATGATTTCGCACTCTAAATCTTCAACAGTCGAAAAACTTTATACACCGTACACATCCTTTTGTTCCCCCCCCCCCCNNCCGGGCGGAAATTCTGCCGCTCTTTTCTCTTGCCCTATCTCAACTGCTGTTCAAGTCTCACCGGATCCTCCACCAGCTGAAGCCCTTCTCCGGGCTCGACGTCCTTTCCAACTAGCCACGTTTAATGTGCGTACTCTGGTGCGTATAGGACAACGGACGTGTTTGGCACGTACGCTCGAAACCCTAGCATCGATGTGTGTTGCATCCAAGAAACTCGCATTCAGTGTCCGATTGACGTCCCCATCTAACCAATCTGTGAAGTTTCACTTACGCCTTTCTGGGAACCCTGAGGCTGCGACTTCCGGTTTTTCTGGAGTTGGCGTAGCTCTCAGTGAGAGAGCTGAGGCCGCCCTCTTGGATTGGATCCCAGTCGACAGTAGATTGTGCGCAGTAAGACACAGAGGTTCGTGCAAGGTAAGCAGCCGTCGTCAGGATAAACGAAACTTGTTTGTCGTATCGGCGTACGCTCTAACAGACTGCAGCCCAGATGCAGTCCAAGATGAATTTTACCACAATCTACACGACCTCTTGCGTAAAGCGACCCGGGCTGATATCGCGATTTTANAGGTTGACTTCGAATGAGGCGCACCTGGGAGGTCCTTTCGGACTAGATTCCTGTCGCTCGGAAAACGGGAAGCGACTGTTGGCCTTGTGTTCCGACCACTGCCCGTTCCTCGCCAGTACGAACTTCAGACGCTCCAACTGCTGGTGCGCCACTTGGAATCCGCCCTACTCGAGTCAGAGGCGGACGCAGATCAACCACATCGCAATAAGCCACAAATGGTCGGGCAGCATTCAAGACTGCCGATTGTACTGGAGCACTCCCCTCGAATACAACCACGCATTAGGATGCGCTAAGCTGTCTATGTGCTTCGGTGAGTGTCCCAAACAAACGACACAACGACGGTTAGACTGCGATAAGCTGTCCAAACCAGCTTATCTAACTGTCTTTCAAAACGCACTAGCTGCAAAGCTAGTACCACCCCCACCCGATGACGTTAACCAGCATTGGTCGCTTATCAAGAACGCTCTGCAATCTGCTGGCTTAGTTAGTTGTGGTCTGACACGTCGTGCCGCGACACCCTGGATCTCTGCAGAGTCTTTACACCTTCTTGACGCACGTCGGTCTATTCCGATCAGTAGTGAGCATAATGAAACATGACTGGCTGGGTTTCGTGCCGGTCGTGGATGCATCGATCAAATCTTCACCCTCCGACAGCTGCTAGAGCCCCATAATGCCTACCAAAGACCACCAATCATTGTATTCTTAGACATCCGTGCGGTCTCCGACGCTATCGATAGAACCGCAATTTGGAGCTGTTTGTCCAGAAATGGAGTACTTGAGAAGTAAGTGTTGATCCTCAAAGAGTTGTATTGTCATACCTCAGGTCGGGTTACGGCCTATGGTCAACTTTCGCCACCCTTCGCCGTCTCCAGTGGAGGTCGGCAAGGCACTCTTAAATCTCCAATTCTTTTCAACTTCGCCATAGAGGATGTTCTACAGAATGCTATGTCCGATCTAGCAAACGGTGGGGGAACAGNGGGAACAGAGTTCTTAACTTGGAATATGTAGATGACATCGCCTTGCTGGGTGACAACACACAGACAGTCCCAAACGCTTTGAACCGCATGGCGATAGAGGTATCCAGGTATGGCACGCTTTGCAACATCAAAGTGCTTGTTCAAGACTGGCAGGAGCCTGTGCCCGCACTCATCCTCTGTGGTGATCAGAGTAGTAGAAGTAGTTGAGAGCTTTAAGTACTTCGGGAACCTGATCGCAGCTGACGAGGGTGTTGGATAGATCACATCACCAATAGCGAAAGCTAGAGCAGCTTTCGCCAACCTGCGACACCTGTGGCGCCGTCATGACATCCGACTTTTCCTTAAGGGAAGGGTGTATATCGCCATGGTTCGAAGCATTCGCCTTTACGGTTGCGAGAACTGTCCGCTTCGCATTGAGGATGCTAATCGACTTTCTGTATTTGACCACCGATGTCTCCGAAGCATTGCTCGTGTCTGGCGAAAAAATCGGGTGAGTAATGAGGTTCGTCATCGTGTCGGCTGCGGATAGTTGTACTCTCACAGACGTAATCGCTCTACACCGCTTCCGATGGTCTGGTCACGTATTGCGCACGTCTGCCCATCGACTTCCTCTCCGTGCTTTC